TGGATCCAGAGAGGACTTGAGGCTAGGAGAATAGGGAACTGAGATTAAGGGTCCCCAGAGACCCAGGAAGCATTTCAGTTCTCTCCCTTGGCCCCACTCCAGCTGATCTGTGGGGCCGCCAATAGCACCTGGAGAGCTCTGATTTGCAGGCCTTGTTCCCATCCTCCCTCCTAGTTTCCCCAGAGCTCCTTTTGACTTTGAGGAAGTCTGGGCAGATAGAGATAACAAAGGATTTCATGCTGGAGAAGGGACAGCTGCCCCTGACCATGGGGTCGGAGTTGCCCTTGCCAAATATCCTCCTGAGGTAAACACATGGTTTTCGTCTGCACCCCAAGTTCCTTCTCCAAGCAACATGTCCTTGTTAAGCCACCATTGAGACAGCACTGAGAGCTACTCATTCTGGTAAAGGAATGTGTTCTCTGCTAAGATGCCTGGATCTCTAAGGGGAAAGTCATGTTCTTGAGAAAATATCCATTTTACCTCCTCTCTCGGGGGCCCACTTCCTGACCCACAGGCTCAAGGTAAGCAGAGCTCCAGCACCATTTCTGGGCCAGATTCCAAACTCCTGGTGTTTCCAACCCAGAAGGGCCATATTTAGTGTAAACCTTGTACTCTCCTTAAAGTAGTTTAACAGAAAGAAGACATTGGATCCCTCCTTAGTACATATTGATAGTTCAATTTTCACTGTCATCTAAACTTAGGAAGCAGAAAAACAAAACATAAAGCCCTGCTGGTCCGACAGGTTTATCCATCCTGTTCTATTACCTTCTAAGAAGTCTGCCTTATTAGCATATCTGATCACTTGAGGACTACCTGGCTGGAACAGTTTAGATGCTAGAAAGGAACTGATTGGCTTATTTTCCTCCTCAGATGTAATTCTTTGGGCTCTCCACCCAGGTCACTACTAGTCCATACGGGCATCTAGTATTATAGGGCACCCCTTCCTCTGTGGTGACAGCCATGCCAAGGCACAGCTTGGCTAGCAGAGTGCAGGCTGGATTTCAGCCCCCAACTGCCCTCCAGGCAAGTTGGACTTGGGTAGTAAGCAGCCTGCAGAACTCTACATGGGCCTCCACCCATATCACTAGCACCAGTTTCTCTTTTTGGAAAGGTGCTTATTGGAGAGGGAGGAGGAAATGATGCTTGTTGGTGTACATTCGAGACAGCTTCCTGGTGGCTCAAGAGCAACCCCTTAATGTGGGCATGTTTTGTGGTCTGGGAGAATTTGAGGGGCATTTTACAACAAAGCCCACTTTTTCTGGGACAAAAAACATGGGTTTTTGAAGTTGAGGTGGCCCTGAGGAACTGAACAGCTGGTCAGTCTGCCCACAAACCTGCCCCCAAACCTGACGGCAAACTCTGGGTTTGCTTATTTGTATACTTTAAGGGAATTTTCAAGAACCCATCAACCTCTTCTGAGAAAATAAAGGGTAGGTCCAAGGCACTGCTCTCCCTTGCCTGCTCTGGAGCTTGGCCTGTGGTTAGGACATCTGGTTGCAGAGAGTTTGACCCATCTCTGCTTTCAGATCTAAATCCAATCACCTGTCAAGGGGCTTGGTTTCCCTGCTTTGATGAATCCATTTATAGAGTTCTTCAAGTTGTGGTGGTGGGGGGGGAGGGGGTGGGGGCTGGTGAGTCGGGAAGACTCTGCACAAGATCTCAGGGGTATCATCTTCCCTGGCTGTGACCCAGCATAAGCACCTCTTAAACCAAAAGAACAGCACACAGCACATCCACAACATGTGTAGACCTGGGGAGGAATCGTGGTATCAGGTTTAGTCAGGAACTTCGTAAATAAATGCATTAATACACCAATCCTGTAAGTAATCAAGGCTATCAGGATTCATTCATTTCTCCATCCATTCATTCAACAAACATTTATTGAGTATCCAGTAATAAACCAGCCCAATACTATGCTCTGGGTAAAGAGGCAAGTGAGAAAAAGTCCCCCTGGCCTTTAGCTAAAATGCCATTTCCTCAAAAAGGCCTTCCCAGCCACCCCCTCTCCAGACTCGGGGCTCCTGTGTGTCTTTTCTTTCTGGACACGACTTGGCTTCAGAAGGAGTCTATCCTGGCACAACATGGCCCCAAATGATAGGTGCTGGCTGACTCTTGTCCATTCTAAAAGTCAGAAGGGCTCACCTTCTTCTGGCGATGGTCCTAAGTTTAGGAAATCTGATCCCTGTATAGGGTCTAAGGCCGAGTGAGGATTTTCTGCTTCCGAGAGGGTCAGGACCAGATGATTGCCAAGGTCCCCATAACCTAAGCCAGTGATTCTAGGATAGATGGGACCCTGGAGGTTGGTGTGGTAGAGGGATAACCAGATAACAGGGGTAACCAGGGTGGGGCATGTGTTCCACTTTAGGCCTCATTCTTCTTCAGGAAAGAAATGAAGATGTGATAAGGGGCTCTCTGTGGCCCTGGTGATGATCTATTCTCCACCCCAACCCATGTGACTAACAGGTCTTCCAGAGGCAGGAGGTGACATGGGAAAGGGGAGAGGTGTGGTGCTTGGCCTGCCCCCTGCACCCAGAGCCCTGGGTCTGGTTACATTCATTGTCACTGTGCACAGAACCTACGTCACTACTGGGAAGAAGAGTAGGTTGGGCCCCATTGCTGACCGCACCATTTTATTCTTGCTGGGCCACTGACTCCTAGCTCTGTTTTTCTGTTTCCAATAGCTAAAGGAGGACAGTTGGCCTTTTCTGCTTTGGGAGCTTATGTGTTTCTACTGTAGCATGAACTGTAACCAGTTCAGGGCCCCAGCCTGGAGGCTTGATGCCCTGGGAGTCTAAGTGAGCCCTAACCCAGATCCTGGTCGCCACAGGTCAGTTTAGCTCTGCCCCGCGAGGTGATGTAGGCTCTGTAAACAAGGAGCTGTTAGTTCTTCTGGGATTGGAATCAGCTCTCTTTAGTTCTGAATGGTTATAAAATATCTGTGGTAGCTGCTTTGGGTAGGCCAATACAGAGAGGAGAGAAGAAAAAAGTTGTGTGGCGGGGTGGGGACCATAAGAGCAGAGAAAAAGAGAAAGGGATGGGAGAGAATGGCTAAAGGAGACAGGTGAGGGTAGAGGAAAGCAGTGACAACAGTAGCCTTAGGCATCACTTTGGAATGTGCAGCCAAAAACGGAATGATCCAGCAGGCCAAGATGAAAGGAAAAAAATGCACCTTTTCCTACTTACGCTGGGACTCAGTGACAAAGCCTGAGGGTAGCTGGCTATTCTTGGGTTAGCTCCTCTCCCTCCCCCTCTCCCTCTCCCTCTCCCTCCCCCTCTTCCTCTCCCTCCCCTCCCCTCTCCCTCTCCCTCCCTCTCTCCCTCCCCTCTCCCTCCCCCTCTCCCTCCCCTCCCCCTCTCCCTCTCCCTCCCTCCCCCTCTCCCTCCCTCTCCCTCCCCCCTCCCCCTCTCCCTCCCCTCCCCCTCCCTCTCTCCCTCTCCCTCTCCCTCCCCCTCTCCCTCCCTCCCCCTCTCCCTCCCTCTCCCTCCCCCTCTCCCTCCCCTCCCCCTCCCCCTCCCTCTCTCCCTCTCCCTCCCTCTCCCTCCCCCTCCCTCCCCCTCCTCCTCTCCCTCCCCTCCCCCTCCCCCTCTCCCTCCCCCTCTCCCTCTCCCTCCCCCTCTCCCTCCCCCTCTCCCTCCCTCTCCCTCCCCCTCCCTCCCCCTCCTCCTCTCCCTCCCCTCCCCCTCCCCCTCCCTCTCTCCCTCTCCCTCCCCTCTCCCTCCCCTCCCCCTCCCTCCCCTCCCCCTCCCCCTCCCTCTCTCCCTCTCCCTCCCCTCTCCCTCCCCTCCCCCTCCCTCCCCTCCCTCTCCCCCTCCCTCTCTCCCTCTCCCTCCCCCCCTCCCTCCCCTCCCCCTCCCCCTCCCTCTCTCCCTCTCCCTCCCCCTCTCCCTCCCCTCCCCCTCCCTCCCCTCCCTCTCCCTCTCCCCCTCCCTCTCTCCCTCCCCCTCTCCCTCCTCCTCTCCCTCTCCCTCTCCCTCCCCTCCCCCTCCCTCTCTCCCTCTCCCCCTCCCCTCCCCTCCCCCCTCTCCCTCTCCTCCCCCTCCCCCTCCCCCTCCCCCTCTCCCTCTCCCTCTCCCTCTCCCTCTCCCTTCAGGACTCCTTCCAAGATTTCAGGTAAGGTTAACCCTTCTCTAGGAAATGGGCCTTGGTGTCCAGTAGAGGTGGAACCACCCTAATGGATGGATGGATGGATGGAAGAGTGGGTGGATGGGTGGGTGGATGACGGGTGAGTGGATCCATGGATGAATGAATAGATAAATGAGACAAAGAATAATGGAATGGGATTTTTGAGGGATTGAATGAGTGAAAAAGGCAAATAGTAAGTGGAAAGTGAGAGAATCCCATGGGAGGGTGTAATCACTTAAGCAAGGATTGCCAACTACAAAGATGCTGCCAAGGGGTGCCTGGCTCCTCCCCCTGCTCCACTCTAAAGTCATCCTAGGTAAACATGGGATCTGAGGGGGAAATGGGATGTATATATAGTAAACAACTTGAAGAAAAATTTCTGAGTTCCTGTATTTCCCAGCTCTCCATCTCTGGAGTCTCCTTTAAGAAACTCAAAATCTGTCACTGCTCACCTGGAAGGTAGTGTTCTGCTTCCCCTACCCATGACCAGGTGTTTTCAGGCTTGGACAGACAGGTAAGGGCCTGAAAACTGATTAGAAGAGACAGGAAAAATAAGTTGTAGATTCATTTGAGAATGGGAAGAGTTAAATTGCCTGAACCCTTTAGGCACTCCTACTTCTCCTACTTAGGGATCTGGGGCATTGATTCCTCTAACAATCACAAATCATTGAGGGGATTGTCTCTTATAGCCTTTCAGTAAAAAATGTTAAATACAGGCTTTTCCCCAGGGAAAGCCCAGAAGGAATAGTTCACCGGAGTCAGGGTTAAGGGTTAGGGATCAAAGGGCTATATCAGGCAAGCCTTGAACCAATAATGTTATCTCAGGGGTAAGCAAAACTCTTCTTTCGTGGAAGATCCTGGTCAGAAACCAGAGCTACCCATGTGAGTCATATTTCAAAAGCTACCTATGGATACAGGCTAGAAGGGGGTCAAGTAGAGGATGGAGAGAAGGGGTCTTATTCTTAGGTTCCCCACTATCTCAGGACCTTCTCACTTACTGGGGAATCCCTGGATTTGAGTGGATTCAGTCCAACAACCTGCGTGGGTGTGTTCTTAGGTAAGTCTGAGTCAACAAATAACAGGAAAACACTGGCTCTTTTGCTTAAAAAAAAAATGCATCATCGTGTAAGAGCAAAGGTAAGGACATCTGATTCCCAGAGAAGTGTTAACCTTATCCAAAATCTTGGAGTCTAGAGGGAAAGAGAGGGGCTGACCCAAGAATAGCAGGCGACCCTAGAGGCTTGGTCACTGAGTCCCAAAGTGGGTAGGAAAAAGGTGCATTACATTTGGGGCAAAGGTCATGTGAAACTCCAGGAAAAATCATCAGCCTTGGAAGGTGAATAGCTTGTCACCTGAGAAACCTCCAAGGGGTCATAAGTGCGCAAAAGGTATGTCATGCAGAAATAACCTTCCGCTCCCTCCAGCAAGGCCAGTAGTATGAAGGGTTTTCACAGAATGGTGGGAGACCATTTCATCTTCTCTTTCTTAGGACAGAGATCCCGGCATGCTCACCCAAGCAGTTGTGTGTGCACTTTCACTATCTGGCCCAGGGTAGACTGCCATTTTTTGGTTCCTCTACTGGTGAATTTCTTCCTCCCAGCATCCCCTTGGCTTCTGATATGGTTTGGATATGCAGGGTCCCCCCCAAAGCTCCTGCTAACATTTGGAGGTGTAATGATTGGATTGTGGGGGCTGTAACCAATCAGTCTATCCTAGTTTGGATGGATTGGGTGGCAGCTATAGGCAGGCGGGCCAAGGCTGGAAGAGGTGGGTCACTGGGTGCATCTTCCCTATGACCCTTTCCCCCCTCTCCTCTCTTTCTTTGCTTCCTGACCTGTCGCGAGCTGGGCAGTATTCCTTTGCTGGCCCCTTCTCCTATGACATGCTGTCTCACCTTGGGCCCAGAGTGGTGGAGCCGAACTCTGAAACCACGAACCCCAAATAAAATTTCCCCCACTTTAGGTTGATTTTTGTCAGGTATTTTGGTCACACAAAGGTTGACTAAAACAGCATCCATTTCTAAATCGACTTCAGTCTGGGGGAGAATGCAGTGCCTACTCTAACTGGCCTTCTTGACCTCAGGACTACCATTTAAATAAGACCAACTTAAAAACTCAAGACCTTTTCCCCTTTATTATGTAAAGTCCTTAAATGCTCATGTTACTGATCTGTGTTCTCAATTTAAATATTATTATTACTTTTTTTTAGTTGTAGTTGGACACAATAACTTTATTTTATCTATTTATTTATTTTTATGTGGTGCTGAGGATCGAACCCAGCGCCTTGCATGATCTAGTGCTCTACTGCTGAGCCACAACCCCAGCCCCTATGTTCCCAAATTAAAATGAAAATAATAGCCAGGTGCAGTGGCATATGCCTGTAATCCCAGCTGCATGGGAGGCTGAGGCAGGAGGATCATTTTGAGCCCAGGTGTTAAGGCCAGAGTGTGCAATATAGTGAAACCCTGTCTCAAAAAAAAAAAATAATAATAAATAAAATTAAAATAACTCTTCTCCATGGAGCAAGTATCAGGAGGGGAGAGTTCCTTGTGTGTGTTGAGCCCTACTGGCTAGGGCCAAAAGACGAGTTGCTGTGTGTACTTGACCCTATGACCCCTAAGGGATGGTTGCCCCCAGGTACCTGGTCTTCATCTGGCCTCCTGTTCTCTTAGTTCTCACCAGATTGTTTCTGTTGCTAAAATCTGGAGGGAGGGATTGGGATGACTTTGTGCAGGAGAGCAACTAAACGATGGATCCCAGGATGGGAGTGAGGAGCTGAAAGAGTGGGTGGGGATGGGGGAGGGGGTGCTGCTTTCCCAGGTCTGCTCCTGTGGTGTAGCCTCTTGACTTTGAGCTTCTGATTTATAATAACTGAAGTAGTCGGGATTCGGCCCAGAGCAAACTGAGGCTAGAATCGATAAAATGGTCTGCCTAATGTCTTACAGTTGATGGGCAGTGGATGGGCAGTAGGTAATTCCCATCTGGGGGCATTGTCTCAGGCCTTTGAGGAGAAGTGATTACAGGCATGCGCCACTGTGTCCAGCTACGTTAGGTTTTATAACATTGAGGAGATGGTGTCATTCCTAAATCTGAAGGGTCAAAGGGAGGAATAGTTACCAGAACCTAGAGAGACTACCCGTAAGGAGAGGCTGCCTAACAGGACAGGGTGTCCTTTGGTGGAGGCGCAAAACGAATTCACAGGGATTTAGTAGGGAAGGAATGAAGGGAACAAACAATCCTTCTGCCTTCTAATTTCCTGTTTGAGCACAACTAGAAACTCAAGCTTAAAGATGCTCTGTTACTGCAGGATATAGACAAATGAATTATCTGGCACACGAAACAGGATAAAGGGCAAGGAGTAGATCTGGAGGAGAAAATGGAAGATAGATAGTCACTGGGAAACTCAAGTGAGGTTTATTTTCTTTATTTTTCTTTTCTTTTCTTTTTATTTTTTTGTGCAATGCTGGGAATCAAACCCAGAGCCTTGTGCATGCAAAGCGTGTGCTCAACCACTGAACTACACACCTAGTCCAAGATTTTTTTTTTAAATAATTTCCCTTTTTTTGCAGGGGGGGGGGGGGCTTTCTTTTCCACTGTCATACCTGTCCCTGCTTGGCTTGCAGATGCTAGTCTTTCTGCTGCTTTCCCGTACCCTGGGACTCCCAGCCAAGCCAGTGTCTAGTTTCTGGGCCTGTCTTCTCTCTTCCACCATTTCTTTATCAAACCAGTTCTTCAGATATTGGCTTCTGGCCATGACAACGCAACAGGATCTAGATTTACCCTTCCACTGTAAACAACCAGAAAACGGGACAACATAATGTACTGACGGCTTTAGATATTGCATAACTTGCAGGACTGCAATCCCCGAGATAAAGGAAATAAATGAAGTGAGCCCTCTGATCACCCCAGGTTTTGATTGGAGACACATTCTGGTCTTTACAACAGTGAAAGGAATCCCAAGCACAGCATTATGGTCTCATTAAATTAAAAGACAGAAATAAAGACTAACAAGACGTTAGATGGAAGTTTTGGGGCAGAGTTCTGGAAAATAAGCTACTTATGTGGGAAAAGCTCCACAGGTACTAAGACGAAGACACAGACAGTGAAGCTCCACAAGGTGGGCAAAAAATGACCAGGGGTTGTGAACTGAATAATCCAGAGAGTTCACATGGAAATATGAAATGTACAAATATAAACTTGGCTTGATCACTCAGGGCATTTGGTAAAGACAATAAAGATCATCCCCAAATAGTAGGCCTGAACTATCCTTAGAAAAAAGAAACTATTAGGTTTACTCTAACAAAGTTTTAAATAATTCCCTAAAGAAATAATTTTATCCATAAGTAACTAGTAGCCTATCAGGTTAAAAAAAAAAAATCAACACTCTTCAAAGGAAGATTGTTTTAAAAAACCAAAACCCATAGATATAACTTTCAAAATATCTAGCATCCAATAAAATAAACCACTAGATCACTGAGTAGTGGGAACATGTGACCCATACCAAGAAAAATATCAGTTAATAGAAATATACCTAAAAATGACAAAATTGAGCAGACAGGCACACTGAAATACCTATTATAAGTATTGAACAAAACGTGTTCAAGGTTTTAAGAAAAACAAATAGAGTGAGGAAACAATGAAAACATGAATCAAAAGCCAAATATAACTTCCAGGGATGAAGAATACCATGATTTTTAATCCATGAACTTAAAAGCAAAATGGATATGAAAAAAATGAAAATAAGTGAAATTTAAAAATACAGCAATAGAAACTATCTAAAATGAAGCCAGAGAGGAAAAAGACTTAAAGCTGAGCATGGGCACAGTGTACCCACCTGTTCTCCCAGTGACTTGGGAGGCTGTAGTAGGAGAATTGCCCCAAGACCAGCCTTAGCAACTTAGTGAGTTCCCAGCACTTGGTGGGACCCTGTCTCAAGACATAAGAAAATAGATAAATAATGCACCTCTGTGGTAAAGCACTCCTGGGTTCAATCCCGGGTATGAAAAAAAAAACTTCATAAAATAAAAAGAAAGAAATGAATAGAGTCTTAATAACCTGTTGGGCAATATCAAGTGGTCTAACACATATGTAACTGGAAAGGAGAAGAACAAATGTAATTGGGAAGTAGAAGAGAAGATGAACAAATTCTTGCCAGATAATGCACATTTTCCCAAATTTGATTAAAACAAAACAACCAACAAACTATATATATAAATACACACACACACACACACACATATATATTTATTTATTTACACATCAATCTAGATAGAACTATATGTCATTAATCTAAGAATTAAAAAGAACCCAAATTGATGGTACATAATAATAAAAATTAGTAAAAATTAGCAATAAAGAGAAAATCTTAAAAGAAGCCTGAGAAAAAGTGTTGTTATATGTTATAGAGAATATAAGAAATATTACTGACTTCTTATCAAAATTATGCAAGCCAGAAGACAATGGAATGATGTATTAAGCATAGTAAATGAGAAAAAAAGATCAAGTTATAATTCTGTATCTAGTGATAATACCCTTTAAAAGTGAAGGCATGGGGCTGGGGTTGTGGCTCAGTGGTAGAGCACTTGCCTAGCCCATATGAGGCATTGGATTTGATCCTCAGCACCACATAAAAACAAATAAATAAAATAAAGTATTATGTCCATCTACAACTAAAAAATATTTTTTAAAAAGTGGAGGCATAATGAAGAATTTTTGAGATAAATAAAACCTTAGAGATTTCACCACCATTAAATCTACATTAAAGAAACATTAAAGGAAGTTCTTTAGGCAGAAGGAAAATAAGAATGAAGAGTTTCAGAACTGATAAACATAAAAGTAAATATTAAAGACTTTTTCTTTAAAAAATTCCTTAATGCTGATAACGCCAAGGTCGCGGGTTCGATCCCCGTATGGGCCACCAAATGCCGCAGTCTGGCTGGGCACAAAATCACGAGCCACTCAAGCAGGAACAAACTTTATTTCTGAAACTCTCACCAATGCCACGCACGCTCCCGGGAAATATCCTGAACCACCCATGCGGTGTTCTCCCGGGACACACTACACCAACCGGGAAATTCCTCCTCTGGAAATCCCTCCTACCGCACTTCCCCAACCAATGGGAACTCTCCGGGAGTCCCGCTAGAGCTCCAAAGTAGCAGGCTGAGGTGGACAGCAGGGGTCTAATATCCAATTGAATGCAGATCTTAACATAATCATATCATCTCAATGGCTTGCTGGCGTCACCTTTCAACCAAAAATGCCATGCGTCATTCCTACTTAGCTATGGCTCTCAGCACCTTAAAATGTTAAAACAAAATAATAATAATACTGTGGAGTTAATAAAACATGTAAAAGTAAATTTTACAACAAAAAATAGCATAAGGGATAAACGTGTATAGCTAAAAATCAATGTTTTGGATAAAATTAAATAATGAAAGAGAACATTCAATCCAAAAGAAAACAGGGAAAGATTTTTTAAAAATAAGGTAACAGAACAAATTCAACAAATACAAAACAAATATTAAGGTTATACATGTAAACCAAACATGTATGGTAGATATAATTAAAGAAGCCCTTTTTCAACATAAAAATGCAAATAGTTTAAAAGCAAAATAATGAAAAAAAATTTATCATAATAAACCTGTAGTGGCTATGTCAATTACAGAACTGACAAACAAAAACTCACTTGAGAACAAATAGAATCACCAGAGATAAAGAGATAAGTTTATAATAATAAAAAATTTAAGATATAGTAATCCAAAATGTGTGAACTTCTACTAACAGTTTTATAAAGCATGAAATAAAAATTGATGAAATTTTAAAATGAAATAGTCAAATCCATAATTATTATATATATTTTATTATTCCTTTTCAGGAACTGATAGAACAAATGGCCAGAAAAATCAGGAAGTCAGTAAGAATATTGAAGACTTGAATAACACTAACTGTCAACTTGATTTAACTGGTATTTATAGAACACATCACCCAACAATATCAGAATAACTCTCTTTTTAATTCCCATGGAACATTCACCAAGATAGATTATAATTTGGGCCATTATAAAATTTTTTTTTTAATTTAAAATTTTATCACAAAATAATTAATGAGAAGTAAAAGCCAGAAACATATTTGGAAAATACCCCAATATTTGTAAAGTTAAACATTATATTTTAAATTATCTATGGGTCAAGGAAAAAGATGTGGGGATAATTTAAAGTTAGTTTGAGCTGAATGAAAATGAAGGCATCACCATTTCAAATGTGACATTATATTCATTATTTGTGCAAAAATCATCACCATCTAATTCTAAAACATTTTCACCACGCCCAAAAGAAATCCCAAACCATTAGCAATCCTTTCCTACTTCTTCTTTCCTCTCCCCCTCTGGATATCACTAATCTTCATTCTGTTCCTATGGATTTGCTTATTCTTGACATTCCATATGAATGGAATTTTGCACTACCTCGTCTTTTGTGTCTGGTTTCTTCCATTTAGCATTTGAATAGAATTTCAAGTGCTTAATTAGAGAATAAAAAAGACTCCCCCTCCCTGCTGGGATTGAACCCAGGGCTTATGCATGTGAAGCAAGCACTCTACAAACTGAGCATATCCCTAGCCCCAAAGACTCACTTTTGACATCAATACCAACACAATTGAGTAGGGATAGAATAGTCTTTTTGACAAGTGGTATGGGGATATATAGCTATCCACATGTAAAAAAGTGAAGCTGAAGCCCTACCTCACACCCTATATAAAAATTAACTCAAATGGATCAAATTCATAAATTTAAGGGCTAAAATTACAAAACTTTTACAAGAAACATGGGTGTACATCTTCATGATCATGGACTAATCAATGTTTCTTAGTTGTGACATTTTAATAAAAAATAGATAAATAGGACTTTATCAAAAGTAACAATATTTGCATATCAAAGCTCACTATCCATAGGGTAAAAATACTCACAGAATAGAAAAGTAGTTGCAAATCACATATATGAAAAAAGACTTGGACCTGGTATATATAAATAACTTTTTATAATGTAATAATAAAAAGATAGACAAACCCAACATTTTTAAAAGCAATTTTTTTATTGATATATAAGATAACCTAATTTTTGAAAATAGGCAAAGGGGGACTGGAGATGTGGTTCTGTGGAAGAGCACTTGCCTACCAGGCACAAGGCCTTGAGTGTGATCCTCAGAACCCCAAATAAATAAACAAAATCAGGCAAAGGATTTGAACAGACATTTCTCCAAAGAAGGTATACAAATGGCCAATAAGCACATGAAAAGAAGCAAAACATTTTTAGTCATTAGTAGAATGCTAATCAAAATCACAATAATATAACACACCCACTAGGATGACCATAAAGTAAAAAAGACCAAGGATAACAATCATTTTGAGAATGCAGAACATTTGGAGTATAAAACAGTGTAGATGCTTTGTTAAACAGTTTGGTGGTTCCTTAAAAAGTGAAACATACAGTTGCCCAAAGACCTAGTGTTTCCACTCCTAGATGTGTACCCAAGAGTATTGAAAATGCACACCCACATGCACTGTGTATGAATGCAGTGAGCCCCGAAGTAGAAACAACCCAAATGTGCCTCAGTGAGCAATGGATAAACAAAGTATGGTGTCTCCATGCCATGGGATATTGTTCAGCCATAAAAAGGAATGAAATTCTGTTATATGCTAGGACATGGATAAACCTGGAACACTTTATGCCAATCAAAAGAATCCAGACACAAAATGTCACCTATTGCGTAATTCCATTTGAATGAAACGTCAGAATAAGCAAATTCATATAGACAGATGGTAGAGTAGTGGAGCCAGGGAGGAATGAGGGGTAATTATAAATGGATATGGGGTCTCTTTATGGGATGAGGAAAATATTCTAAATTAGATAATAGTGAGGGTTGCACCACCTCATGAATATACTTAAGGAACCTAGGTAAGTCTACCCTAAAATATGGCACCCTGGTATGTTGATTACTTCCAGGCCCTGGGAGATCTGCAGAAACTGAAGAGGCTTTACTCTGCTCTTTCCTTATCTGGGTAAAGACCAGACCCACCAAAGAGGAAAAACCATTGCCTTCAGTCCAGTCGCTGAGGTTTTGTTAACTAAACTCATATCCCAGGAAGGAAGACTGGGAAATGCTACCACACCCAGGCCTGCTTTGTCAATAAGCCATCACCTCTCCTTCATTTCCCAGGTCCATTCATTCTTCCAAAGAGAATCATTTACCGGCTATTGTCTGTGCTCTTGGCCCATTCAATCCCCCAACAATCATTTACTACCCTTCAAAAAGAATTGCCTACACTCCCCCTCTTCCCTCTGCCCTACGAGGAAGAAACGAACATGGGAAGAAACAACAAACCTCACTGGGTTGGTGGATAATCATACTCCTGGAATTTTCCCTCCTACAACTTAAATAAATTTATATGCCTCTTCTCCCCAGCTAATCTGTGTGTTGTCAGTTCATTCCAGCAACACTTCAGAGAGCAAATGGAGAGTCTTCCCTTTGTCCCTATGATACTAAAACCCACTAAATTGTACACTTTAAGATGGTGAATTTTTATGGTATATAAATTACTTTTCAATTTTACAAATAAGAATCTGATAGAAATGACTTCATGCCCCAGTCTCAAATATTGATGTGACCTTAATGTGAGGCTCTCAGCAATATCTGGTCTAACTCAGGCTGACCCTATCCTGCAAAAACTCCAGCGTCTATTTTCTGAGTCCAGCACCTATGACTTCCAATTTTTCTCAGATGTGGTTGCTACCAGCCTGCCTCCAAGTTCTGCCGCAGAGGTTGAATTTTGTATTTTAGTTTCTATGCTTATTTTCGTGCAGTATGAGTTTTTTTTTTTTTTTTTTTTTTAAAAACCTATTGTTAGCTTGCTTCCCATAGCCAGGCTCAACTGAAATGATAAAGATGACAGATGATTGATAATGAGGTGCTTTACAGTTTATAAAAAGCATTTTAACATTCAACACTCTTGGCCTTAGACATTTGAATTTGAACTGGCCATGTAGTGGCCCGAGCTCTCATCCCATTTTCTCTGACTCAAAAATTGAAGTCTCTCTTCAAACAACTAAATGTGTTTTTGAACAGGTTATGGAGAAAGGATCTCCTATCTACCCTTCCAAGAATATTATGAAGGCTCTTAGGCATTTAAAGACTAGCTTCCATTGAAAATCTTATATTGGTCTGTGATATGCACAATGACCCCAATTATTAGTCATGACTAATGTTTACTTCCTTGATGGTGTTGTTTGCTGATTCATTTTCACTCCTGCAGGGACACACATGCGCACACACACACACAAACACACCCCTTAGGGCAAGGGGTTGAGCTGCCTTCTCCTAACTGTGCTGTGACCGGAGCTGAAATCCATTTTTGTTCTTCCCTCCCTCCTCCTACTCTCTCTCAAAAATGCGAAGATGTACATAACATAAACTTTATCATTTCAACCACTTTTAAGTATACAATTCTAAGGCATTAACATGCACTCACACTGATCTGCAACCAACACCACCATTCATCCCCAGAATTTTCTCACCTTGCAAAGCTGAAACTTGGTGCTCCTGAACCACTAACTCCTCACTCCCCTCTCCCAGCCCTGGCAGCCACCATTCTCCTCCCTGTCTGGGAATTCAGCTCCTCTGGGTATCTCATATAAGTGGACACACAATATTGGTCCCTTTACTGCTTGCCTGACTGTCTTTCTTTCTTGTCCTGGGGATTGAACCCAGGGGCACTTTACCACTGAGCTACACCCAGCCCTTTCTATTTTTTATTTTGAGACAGGGTTTCGCTAAGTTGTCCAGGCCAGCCTCAAACTTTTGATCTTTCTGTCTCAGCCTCTGATTACCAGCACACACCACCATGCCTGGCTCTTGCTGCTTGCATTTCTTGATAGCTGAGAGTCACATGATTCCAGAGCTGGCCCTTGGGACCGGATGTTTGATGTGGTACAGCCCAGAGGAGGGATAGAGGGGTCTGTAGCACAAACAGCCCCAGACAGAATCAGGAGGGCTCTTTGCACCCTGACGACAGCTGGAAATTCTTTCTGCTCTTCTGAGAGTGGAGTGTTACAAACAGGAGACTTTGCAAGCCCAATCCCAAACACAGGAATCCTTCCCTCGTCAGCCTGTCTCCTGGGCCCCACGGAGACAGCTGGGCTTCCCACGCAAGCGGATGCACTCAGCTGTGACGGCCTTTCCTGGGTCAGCCTGCTCCAGCTCACCCTTGAAGGAGAACATCAGATCCTTGAACGTAATGGCTCATTTTCCATTCCAAGTTGTATGGAGTACAAAGTAGAACACTTTCCAAATGCCCGTTTCTGCCACTCACAGCAATTAGTGCACTCAGATTGGCATGATCATTTTATTCCCTGAGCCAGTTCTATGAAATTCATGGCGAGGATTTGAACCTCATGAATGATCATCCTTCCACTGGCTTTTGTGAAGGTGAATGAAAACAATTTCTTATTAATGAAAGAGAAAATCCCTTCACTGGATTTGGAGTAAAGCCACAGCTAGATGGAAAACCAGACGACCAGAAAACAAAGATGGATCTAATAGGCCCTGGGATGTCCTAGGCCAAATTTGGCTGTGGAAGGCTAAGGGCAACCTGTGTTGTGTGCCCAGTCACAGGCACATGTACACCTGGAGGTTCAGAAAATAGGATTATAGTACTTGCTGCTGGTATTGAGTGTAGATCTGGGTGTGGTGATGGGAAAGTAGGCTGGGCCTGGATACTCATCCAAGGTCTCTCTGTTCTGATTCTAGTCCCCCTAGTTTGTAGGAGGGAAGTAGAGGGTTGGAAGGCCTGTGCAGTTAGACTTTGTACAATTGAGACTGGGATTCCTTGTTTTCCTAAGTACTATGTCAAGGATAGCAGACCTGGGTGAGGATATTATCCTGCTGTTGACTTGCCTTCTGACCTGGGGCCAACCCTGGCCACACACTTATCATCTGTGAAATTAGGGAATAAGACCCAACTCAAAAGCAATAGACTTCTCCCTTCTGCAGTTCTGAGATGGAATCCAGGGCCTCATGCATGCTAGGCAAGCACTCTATCATTGAGCTACACCCCAGTCTCCTAAAAGCATGCATGTGTGTGCACACCGATACACACATGTGTGCAAACACATTCAGATGCAGTTGTAATAGGGAATGCATAATATAATATGAAATACTAAGATACATAGTATAATATTTCATATATAAATATTATATATGATACATAGGCTAATATGCTAATAATATACTAAGTGAGAATGAGGAAGGAGAGAACTTGATTCTACCTTATCCTAATGTTTCTTGGAGGAGCTACTCCTTGAGCAGGGTTGGTCAAGGTGCTGACAGGTGGATACAGGAGCATGAAGAGGAGGTGCCTCTTGCACATAAAACAAGTGAACAAAAAGAGGGATGGTAAAACAGGTGAGGGCAGAGTGGCAAGCTCTGGGAGTGGCGAGTAGGTGGTTATAGCTGGGCACAGGTTAATAGTGCATAGTCAGTCGGTCCTCAGTCAATAGCAGCTGAAGACTGTCAATAAGGACTGAAGTGACAGGGTAATGAGGGGGAGCCATATGTAGCATGGAGTCCATCTGGGTTTCTATGAGGGAAACAGATTTCTGCAATGGACTCTTGTGTTCTAGGACAGGTGGATCACTGAAGAAGAAGCCCACAGGCTAAGAGAAAAGGTCCAGAGGAGATATGGGGAGGGCTTGAACTTAGATAACACTTTTGGGTGGGTGGGGTGGCCCATGCCTGTAATTCCAGGGTCTCAGGAGGCTGAGGCAGGAAGATGGCAAGTTCAAGGCCAGCCTCAGCGACTTGGCAAGGCCCTAAGCAACTTAGTAAGACTGCCTCAAAAGAAAAAAATAAAAAGGGCTGGGGACATGGCTCAGTGGTTAAGTGCTCCTGGATTAAATCTGTGGTACAAACAATAAATTAATAAAGAGTGTAGGAGATTCCTCAAGTTTCCAGAAGTTGATCAGACATACAAGGAGACAAAGAAGGAAATGTAGCCAATTTTGAGGACTTGAACCTGAGAAACTTTTCATAAACAAAGTCAGGCTATCTCTCGAGAAGAGAGAGAGGTCTGGAATGAGATGATCAACTCAATTTTGTGTGAAAATTCCACAGGGTGTCTGTGTAAAGAGAGCCAGAAGGAGGTAGAAATATGGAAACTTTAGAAGGTAGAGAATTGGGGCTCACAGAAGCAAAGGCTGAAGATGTAAACATGGCTGGGATAGAAGGGATTGTGGGAAGAGGAGGCTGGGTGCGCAGAGGAGCAGATCAAGAGTCCCTGGATGGAGCGGAAAGTGGAAGGCTGCCGGGAAAGAACCAGAGAATCTAAGGACACGCAGTGGGCAGGAGGCCCAGAAAATGTGAGAAAGTGGCAGTGGGGTGGCCTCACTGAGAATGGTCAGAGCCTGAGGAGAGGAAGTAGAAGCAAAAGGTGTGAAAGACCCTCTGAGAAATGTATCATGAAAGGAACCAAAAGATGGCTGCAAGAACAGGGCTAGAGAAAGGCATTTTAGCACAGGGAAGAGGCAGCCATGTTTTGGTACCCTCTTCTCCAAGGCTACCTCACAGCTTCTGATTCAGGAAGGAGGATGGGTGAGGAGGTGATGTGGAGGAGATAGGAGCCATTACCATGTTGGGCCAGGTAAATAAGTTAGTTTGCAAAGGAGGGGGATGATCTACTTCTAACATGGGGATGGGTAGGGATATGAAGGACTCTGAGGTGGAGGAGATGAAAGGGGAGCCCTGTGAGAGGTCTGGACCCCAGGAAGGAGGATGGTGGTAGTTCTGCAGATAGAAAGTGGAGGTTGGGGTCACCGTGGGAAGATCTGAGGAAAGTGAGGGCCTCAGGCATAGCAGCTGGCTGGTTTGCGGGTCCAAGAGGAGAGCTGGGTCCCCGCTGAGTTGCTGGGTCTGCAGCCAGTGTGAGGGCTGAGCTCCCCCTTGCAGGGCCGGGTGTCTTTAGGTGCAGGGGAAGGGAGAGACCAACTCAGATGGGGTCCCTCAGGGCAGGCCTGGGGAATGTTGGGGATGCAGGGGATTGAGGATAGAGATCAGATTGGTAAGGGACCTCAGGGAAGCTCCCGAGGGCACATGGCAGGGGGAGACCAGGTGAGAGTCAGAGGAAGGAAGAGGTGAGGGGCAGAAGATGCAGTCAGAGAGGGGACAGCTGCCGTAGAGGTCTCCAGGTCTGATAAGTGATAGAGAGTACAGAGTGGAGGCTGGAGAGATCGGAGACCTGCAGGAGGGGCAGGGGAGAGGCTGGGCTCTCAGAAGGGTTGATTTGTGACTGAGGAAAAACGAGGACCCCACAGACAAGGAGGGATGGAACCTGGGGCCTTGATGGGAATTGCGTGGAAAACGTTCCTCTCATTTAAGCAGCAGCCCTGTTGGAAGTCAGGGCGCTC